ACACTATAACGCGTGTACGCAGGGGTGCATATCATAGTTGCAGGTATAATGCCATATACATGGGTTTGGTGGCGGCGTCGGCGAAAGGGTGTCTTGACAGGCGGCGTAATCTCGTTTGTCTCGCGGTGCAACTCGATTTCCACGGGCACGCCAAGGAGAAAATTACAATGTGAGGCGACATTTGAGCATGATGGATGACACGCCGCGCTGTGATGTGCACAGGGAGCTAGGCCGCCCCCGCCGCCTATCACGGCTCCCACATACACACACGCACGCACCTCATCTATGTCTACATTTACACCGACTATAAAAGTATAAAAGACAGACCAAAAATGGATTCCTAAATTTAGTCCGCGTGCGACAACAATGCGCGGAAAAGTGTAATCAAGAGACATCCCCTCAATCATTAGGATTGAAGGTAAAAAAATTTTTGCTTGAGCGCTCAAAACCTACTACAAAGAAAAAGGTGAGGAAAATGTTTCTTAACAATATATATGTATATTCCTATAAAGAGACAGAGCGTTAGCTTAGTTTTTATCTGAAGACATTGAGGGCGATCCAAAAGGCTAACTTGGCCCAGGCTAACTTGACTTAGCCCTGGGCTAACTTAGCCCACCAGCAAAATTGAATGGCAGGTTAAATTAGCCCAGGCCAGGTTAATTTAGCCTGGGCCAAGTTTGCCTTTTGGATCGCCCTCATTATCATTGCACATGAATTGGTGTGTGGATAGCATTATTATATTTATGAACACGTTATTTTGAGAAACGCATTATACAGTTTAAAATTGAACAAATTTAAAAATGTGCCAGAAATTTTTGAAAAATTTTGCTATTAAATTAAAATAAAACAAACATATTTTTATTTTTAAACGTTATCAACAGAAAAATTATGATTTTTGTTAATTATAAATTGAATGCTTCCACTCAAGGTGAACTTTTTGAAAATTTAACCAAGCGAACCTGGTTGCACTAATTATAGGAACATAGTTTGAAATTATTATAAATTTGGTTATATGCGTGTTTAATGAAATGACTTATTCAAGCTCAAATTATTATTACACATGCTATTCAAACGCAGACCAGAGAAGACACGAAAGGAATTTTGTAGACAATTAAAACCCTCCCAGGACAAATCGGATCCTAAAACAAACTTAATGTTCAGTGGCGTGGTGCCATTTGTTTGGGGGGTTTGATGTGCAACCTGCAGCACAAAACAGATTGCGCCTGTAACTGTTGTGTTATTGGATAAAGGGCCCGTCCTGTTTGATTTATTCCCCTCAAGCACCTGCAAGGAGATAAAAAATATTCAAATCAGTAGGCGAGCGCAGTGGATTCGATCAAATCCTTCTGCCCGAAGTAAGTCCCCCGTGCTGAAACAAACAGCAGGGCTTTATAACTCCAACAACCACCGCCCCTTGAATTGAAATTGAAACATCTTAATTTATATAAAGACAAAATTTCATCTCGTTTGAGTTAGTAAATTATTTTTACAAGGAAAAAAATCGTCAAGAATAATATTGCCTTTTTCTCTTGTTTCCTGCGCCAATATAAAAAAAGTAAGGTGCTTTATTTTTTTCCTCATACCGCCACAACAAGTGGCTTCTTTTTTTCCTACTTCCATCTACTCCGCCATTAAAATTGGCTTCCTCGTCCTTTAATATGTGCAAGTACGTATACACACAAATGAGCAAAGGAGCAGCGACTCTGTCTCTGCATGTGCTATTGGGTGCTCTGCTTCTCGAGGAGGCTGACGAGAGGCAATATAATAATTTCCCGTACCCAGTTTTGCTCCTCGAGAATTTTAATTTGAAAACTTTTTGCCGCCGCGATCTCGAGATCACGGCAAACAATAAGTATGGCATGGTTTAGGAAAAAAGTCACCGTTTTTTATATATGCATAAAAGTTTGGATTATAAGAGATATTTTTTTAGCAGTTGAAAACATAAACAAATAACTATTAATTTCTGAGAAATTCTCATATGGTTAAAATTATCTGTGGTTTAGTTTGCATAAATTTAATACTGACAAAGTGGATATTTGGGAACTAAATCATTCTTGATGTTAAATATACTTGACTGCAAACTTAAAAAAATTATTCTTAAATTGTTTCAATTTTTCAGTATCCATTAGCTGGTTAAAAAAATTTAATGTTAACTTTCTTTTTGACTTTTTTCATAGAGATTCATGGAAATGAATTTTTAAGAAGAAGAAAAGGAACTCATGAAGGGTTGTGTAAAATATGAAAATGGTTCCGAAAAGTTATATAATTATATGATCCCGATTGTTCTTTTAAATCTACTTGAATAAACGGATTTGGGATAACAATTTAATTGTTATGAGTTTGTCGGTAATTGTCAGTAAGTAAAAATTGACAGTCACGTTTTCGATTTCACGAATAATATCTGGAGTTCTTTCAAATTTAGGATAAAATTTATTGACTTGAGGGCAGGTCTTAAAATAAATTCAAAAATAAAATAAAAAACAAGTATTGTAGCATTATTCATAAAAATTATTAATTTATATACAAAAAAATTGAGTTGTTAAAATTGTTGTTACTGTGATTATTAGTCCTTGTGAAATTTAGATGCGTAAAATTGAATTGATTTGTGTGATTTCAATTTTATTTTATAGAACTAATATTTTTTCCAATGTTTCATAAACAAATAAAAATACTTTTAATTATAAATTAATTTATTTTTTCCAAATAAGTAAAAAAAATCAATTACAAAAAATGGCAGGGAGAAAAATAAGCACACAGTGCCAGTGAAAAACTCACTGAAACTCGTATCTTAAAATTTAAAATTAACTTGAATTTAATTCAATTCAATTTAACTGCGGTTTGATTTGGTTGAGATTCGTTGGTTGAAAGGCAAACCAAACTCAATAAGCCAATAAACCGCGAGGCCTAATTTAATCCGGCACAAAGTCAGCAATCAGAATGTAATTAGTTAGCTGTGTGGAATTTGCGTACAACCTCTCGATTAGCTCCGAAGCAATATGAGCTCGCAGTTTCGCCACGTGATTATGAGCCCGTGATTATCTCCGTTATTACAATAAGGTGCAGCTCGAATCAAAGTGGCGGCGGCGGTTTTGCGGTTTGCGCGACACACTCACCAGGTATGGCAGGCAACGCATGTACGAGACGACAACGCAGAAAATAAAGCGAGTGCCTTCTGAAGAGATTCAACATTGAGGGAGGCAAATTTAATTTACCAAATTTCCCACCGGTTCGCGTGGAAAATAAGCAAATTTCAGTCTCTGCTTTAAAACAGGAAAAAACGATATGGGGCGCCGCGTGTTTGCAGGGGGATAAAAAGCGCCGATGAAAAAACAACATCCCTTGTGCAATATTTTGATATTATTAAAAGCGGCAGAGCTGAAAATTTGGCTAACCTCGCCTGTAACGCACGTCACTACACCTCAGAATTTGTCACATTTCCACATTTGTTGACGCTAAAATAAAAATAAGCACTCAGCAAACTTTTCATCTCAGTATCGGACATTATTCCGATGTGACACTCTGAAAAAAAAACGCTTTTTCTGTTAATGACGTGCGTATGTATGTATTATTCTGCAGTGGTATTTTGAACTCCTCACAAATAATTTTTTGCTTGTATTTAAAAAGGCCCGTTTTGTCAATTTATTTAATTAAGAAGAAAAAATAATTTAAAAGTAAGGACAAGCTCGTTTTTAACTTTGTGATTCTCTTCGCTTAATTTGATTGCTTTCATTTCAATTTACTGAATTTGAAAAGGTCGTAGGCGATTCAAAATTTAATCTTCAACATGCGTGCGTCGGGTGATATTATTATTATAATGCTGAAGAGGGCCCGTTTGGACTAATTTTGCGCCGACGAAAATCTTGTACGCGCTCTTCCGCTCCCTCTCTTTGGCGCAAAACGACAACGGTTATTGCCCATTTGCATTTTGAGTGTGAGCGATTGCTCGACTACTGGAGTTGCCAAGAGTTGGATTTCGGGATCTTCGGCCGGCGACGAGAATGCGAGAATGTCGCCCCGTTTCTTAATTGGCGCTCATCAAAGTGCAATCAGCGCCGTAAATCACACGTGCGGCTCTACGCGCTTGCAAATTTATTCGATCTGCTCTCGGCGCGAACACCATAACTCTTGCTGGCAACTTTTGGCGTCAATTTCAGGGATCGCGTGCGAGACTTCTCTACAATTTGCTTCTCGTAAGAATTAAGATTCAAAGAAAAAATAATTGTAAATATAAGATCAAATGAATTAACTAATTTACTATCACTATTACTAATAGGAGAATCTGGGGAAATTAAAAAGTCGATTGTAAGCTATTTTTGAAAAATATTAATTTTTAAAAATACATTTAGGTAAAAAAATCCTCAAAATTCGGAAAGGTGTGATAAAATTCCTTATTTCAATTAGTCTTCTGTTTTCAAAAAGGTAAAATAAATTAAAGTTTTCACAAGAAAAAGAGATTTAATTTAATAAAAACTATTGAAGATATATATTTCCTTTTTATTTTCCACGGAGATGCATGCTGCGTCGTTATTATCAGATTATTTATATGTAATTAAAAATCGTTAAATTTTTATTCAACTTTAAATCAACAACTTTTATTTTCTATATTTTTATTCATATTTCAAGTGAATAATAATATAATGTCCCATATTTTTTGTCATTTTTAATACTTTTTAAGTTTAATCACATTTTTATATATAATATTTCCAATGTAAATTCCAATAATCCATTTTTTTTATTGAAATTTTAAAAAAAATAATAACAAAAGTATGAATATTGTTTTTTTCTGATTTTCATTATTTTAGTTTTCCCGTTTTGGGACTTAAAATTGGCTGAACCTTTAGTGAAACTCAAGCTGGTATTTAACAGAGTTTAGGACTAAATCTTGCCATTCAAAGTTTCAAGCCCACAGCAGCTTGCAGGGCGAGAGAGACGCTGTGAATACACACGGAGCATGCGATTGCAATTTACGCTGATCTACATGCATCGTGTGCTTGTTTTAGTGTGTGTGCGCCCGCGTGGCTGGCGCGCGGCGGAGGAGGGCCTTAAAACAACATCGGACCGTCGAGGACCAGGGTGGAGCACCCAGTGGCTCCTGCAGCGCCGCCCGGAGCGGAGTCTGCATGCGGCGCCGACAATTCCCGCCATGGACACGCACGAGAGGTAAGCCAAGAAACTCGTTTTTTCAAATTTAATTAATTGACTTGTTTGAAAGATAAATTATGGCACAAAATTTATCACTACAGACCATGCGTTGTCTGATATATATTTTTTTTTATTAAATTATTTTTTTCTCCATTTTTGCTTTCGAAACTTAGTTAGGAAAATTGCTATCAATATTTCGATTTATCACACAATATTACTTCACCACAATTTTACCAGCATACTGCCTGTACATACTCGAATGTATGAAATTTGTTCAAAAATACCCAGAGAAATTTAGATTAAAAAAGATGTTCTAGATGCAGTCGTACAATACGAGAAGTGCAGTGACCATTAACAATGACTATGACCTTTTTGTTGAAAGCACCTCATTGACCATAACATGTCAAAACCCTTTTGTAATGGTTGCAAAAATATTTAATCATTTTACAATTTTAATAAAAGAACGAATTCAATGGGGATATTTTCAGAAACTTGTTAAAAAGGTGTTGTATGATAACTTATTTTACGATCGGTTCGAGTTTTTCGGATATAATTTTAATTAGCATCTTAAAAGTAGATATAAATGAGAAATGATATCTAAATACATTTTTTACTTGTAATCTCATTGAACCCTTTTAAAAGTTTGCAGGATACAAATATGAAATTTGAAGTGCTTTATTTTTATTATTTAATTATCGTGAAATATTGGTTGCCTTCCTAGCAGATAAGCACCAAATGGAGCTTTGCAGTTTATAGACTATCCAGATGAATAACTAAAAAAGTGTTTTTAGAATACTTTAAATTTAAGATTGAATAATAACAAATTGCGTTAATGATTTTAATTATTTAATCTCAATTCTAATCCCCAAACAATAAATATAAAAATAAATGTTTCTCATTAAACTTATGATAAATTTGAACGAAATTAAGACTTTTTCAAAATAAATGGTTGGATTTATTTCAAAATCTTTTGATTGTCTCCATTTCATTAATAACATTACGTTGCAAATTTTTTTACAATATTTTATCCTACTTTTTCCTTGTTACCTACTTTCAAATTACTAATTATAACTTTTCCAACTGCAGACGCACCATACTTATTAGCGAGTTAATGCAATCATCAAAATAAAAAATCTCATTCCCAGACCTCGTCACACTAGCAAAGAATGACCTGCTTTCTAAACTCTCAAAACTCTCTGTCTGCGCGAGCATTAGCAATAACACTTAAAAAAACCATTCTTATACTTTTAATCTCTTTGCAACTTCGGGTAATGACCTTTAATCCGGTTCAGAGTCGCAAACACGGAAACGGATTAAAAAGTGATTGAATCGGCAGGAAATGCAAATGCGTTGGCTCCCCGGCGACAAATTTCATCAGTCCGCCAATTCCAACTGGAGCCCCTAGTGGCTATGCAGCCGACCTGTCTGCGAGGCTCGGCAAAAAGCCCAACTCGCGGCCCCCAGGGGCAAAAGCGAACCCGATTCCTTTTAAAAAGCCCCCGCTTACGAGTGGTCGCCGGCCGGCTTTGCCGCTCGAATTATCGGCCGCGAAATGAATTTGCATCGACAAACAGCAAAACCCAGTCAGCACAAATAAATCCGATCCACCAAATCGACTGCTCTCTTTCTTTTTCTGCTGGGACCAAAGTGGTTATTTATTATTCCTACTGCTGCTGTGCGTCGCGTAAGCAAAAATGTTGTCGTTTTGTCTTTACGCTTATAAGACGCTTTTTTCGACGCAATAATAATGTTATTGGACGGTAGCAAAACAAAGGAAGCCTGTAAGTGTGGAAGTTCAGGAGAAGTGCAGTTTTTAGAAATAAATGAAAAGAACACAAGAATAGTGCAGAATATAGTATATAAATAATAAATTAGGTACTTATAACTATTATTAATGCCTATGGCGCTCTATAAATTCATGCATACATACTCCCTATACATATATTTGGATATTATTTTCGATGTTCTCATTGAGCGGAGACGCATATTTTTTATTTCGATATTGAGTGTCTACATTATTTTAAAGTTTTGTAACTTATTTAGAATGAACAACAAAATATAATATTTTGGAAGGAATTTTAAGACAAGTTTGTTATTTTTAGATTTGATTTGAGCGTAGGTTGATTTTTAAAGTTCACAATAAGTGACCATAAGTTAACCTATTGGCCCTGGTTACTGTACATGAATTGCGTCTAATAGCCACATATTTAATGAAGTGCAAATAATTATGATTTATGAACTATTCTATCTTTCCGAAAGTTTAACTTGTAAATTTTGAATCTCGGGTCCTTTTTACAAACATCTTGATGCAAAAATAAACAAACTATTTCACTTATTTCTTTAACATCCTATAAGATTAAATGTTTGACTTTCCTTTCCTTAAAAAACATATTTTCTTCTATAACTTAAATTCAAGTTTATTTTCCTCTTTCCTCACTTTCAAGGAAATGTATTAATAACACTATTAAAATTAATGGCACATCTAATCAACTTTCCTTGCAACTCTGGCTCTTGCAAACTTGGTGTTGCTCTCCTGAATAAATTTAATCCGAGTTGAGTCGCCGCCGCGAATCCTCAGCCAGCCCCTCTATATCGCGGATAATTTATTCAAGACGGTCGTCTAACCGGTCATAAATATATCCAGAGTTCAATTTGCGTCCGCAGCGAGCCGTCCCCCGACGCAGGCCGGCCACAAAACTGCACGATGTGCGCCACCTGCTTTTATGTGGCCGCCGCCGTTCTTTAAAATGCACCCATAGATTGAAAGAGGGCAATAATTCACTCCTGGCCAAGATATATTTCATCATCTGATTGACGTTTTCTCGCGCCTTAAAAGACCTTTAACAGATAAGCACGGTTTGTTGTACATGAATTGATGTGAACACTTTAGGAAAAAGGTCGAGACATTTGAAAAGGGACAGATTTATATGATGTTGTACTGCAAAATATCTGACAAGGACACAGATTCATGAAAAATAAAATGATTGCTTGGAAAATATACTTACAGTTTTAATAAATATGAATTTAAATAATAGGATGAACAAAAAAGATTTAAAATTAAAAAAGAAAATCAGATCTTTAAAATATTTTACTACAAATCATTTTGAAATGAATCTTTAGGGAGTCTTGAGCAGTATTATATATTTTTATTCTCTCAAAAACATAATTTTAATAATGTCTTCGATTTCTGCTTTTCAATAAGATAGGGAAATCTGGCAAAAAAATTAAATATAAAACTTTTATTTTCCCCTCACAAATTTTTTTGTTAATTTCCTTTAAACAAATTATACAAAGTAATTGATTGAAGGACAGAAAAGTTATGTTATGGCCAGTAAATTTTAAATAAATAATCCTCCAAAGTCCAAATCAAACTAATGATAAAATTAAAGAATTTATAAAATTGTCTTTTTATAAATTATTATATAGATGAAAAGTTAAAGAACCGTTTGAGATAAATTTGCCTCGTTTATCTCATTTTGAAACAGTGTCTCACCGGTGCAAAATCGCATTTTCCGTTTTTCCCGAAATTAATTAATTCATCACTGTCTTACGCACCGCGTGAAAATAATTTCCTGAAGTCAAACCGAGACAGCAGAGATGAGGGATTTGGGGCGAATGGGTGTGCGAGCGCTTCTTACGAAATTAATGTCACAAGTGTCAGGAGTGTCATTTACAAGGAGAGAGCAGGACGGATTTAATTTTTGGCGTGTGTGTGTTCGCGCGACGAGCAGCAGACCGACACACACTCCTAACTAATAAGTTGGTATGCAGCATATACTCATGAGATTATATTCGATTGCGAGTAACGAGAAAAGCCTCGTGCAAATACGCTCCAACGTGTACGTCACACAGACTCTCACGTGCAGCTTGATTGCCTGCCTAATGGTCTGCAACACGAGCTTGTCCCGTCTTAATGCAGTAATCACTGCTGCTGCCTAGCTCTGATGCACGATGTTGCTGCGGAATTGCTGACTACAACAAATTAAATTGCATATTAAAATATTGCAATATAATTTTCACACAATTTAATATGTTACTAACATTTTTTATAAATTTAATCTAATTTTATTATTTTTTTAAAACTTAAATATATTTTTTCAATTTATTGTTTTGTTTAAATGTATTATTAATTATAATCCTTTTCAATACTATGCTGATAACTAATAATGTCTTTTAAAATTAAAATCAATAATCAAATAAATATTGTCCAGTTTCTGAAAACGCTAGTTGAGAACCTTCCAATTAATTGACTTGAGTTCTTTCATGGGATCTTGGATCTTTTTATCATGTTATATATTTATAATTAATTATTATAAACAACTCCACTTGAAGCATAAAAAAATTGAATGGGTTGAAATTATTTTTTTTTTTCATAAAACAAAAGTTTTAATTAGAATATAATTTTTTAACCCATTATTAGTTGTATTGATACATTGGATAGTTTTTGAAGATTCAGTAAAAGATTTGATTTTTAAAAATATTATAATTCAGAGCAGGGTTACATGTCAATTTTTTTTTTTTTAAATAAAGTTGATCATTTGACTTCAAAATTCAAACAAGGGAGGAAATCTTGGCTTAAAAATGTATATATTTCTAATATAAAAGTAGGTTTGTTGATGAAAAATAACGACAATTATGTATGTAAAGCTGTTAATACATTTTCACATTGATCGAAAATGTGCCAGAACCTGCGGAGTAAAATGAAGAATGTTTCTATAAGTATGGGAGAAAAAGTGTGATATTGAGTCTTTAAAATTGAAATTAATTTATTAATTAGTCGCATCTTTAAAAAATGCGGCACAATTTAGTTATTGTCAGTTAAAGTTTTATTTGTAATAAACGTTAAAAATAATGATATATTGATATTTTACTGAAAGATATACCTAAAAATTGCCCTTATTAATGCTCAAAATTGTATCTTTTTCTAAATTTTATGCAAGCCAATAATTCGATTGTATAAGTAATTATTAATATTGTACAAATGATGCATGTCACACATAAAATTGAATGCTTAAACT